TAACACGGAAATTTGCTACACAATGTCTTTCTTCATGAAATCACAATAAAATGTTTATTGGGTGAAACGGAAAAATATGTGGGTTTTTTTGTATTTTGTAGCTGTAAAATAATATACGAATTATCATTTTATATGACGTATTTCTACTGATGATTAAATTATCAAGTAATGCACTTTTTAACATCATATCTTCCTCTCCCTTTTCAGGGATAGGTTGAAAAAGAGTATGGTAGTTTCAGTGGTCCCGAAAGTAGTTAATATTCTAGCGTAGTTTGGAGTCCCCTTTTAGTTATGAAATTATGTCCTTTTTGATGAAGTGTTATGGTTGCCACACGTTGAATAAGTGCAGAAGCTAGAAATTCAAAATATACCCTGAAAAGCACCATTTACAGTCAGTTTTTTAAAGAAATTTTGCGCCTGTTCGGAAATCCCTCACGGAGCACGGATCGATCCGCCCCTTGGGGTATCATTAGGACTGACAGTAACCACAGGTTCATTTCTGCCCGTGGTTACTATCGGTCTAGATGATACCACGGACAGACCTGGCGTCGACGATCCCTGAATGAGACCTCGCGAAGAGTTACCACACTATGGCGATCCGATGGGATGCTCTTCTCCCCGGCTCAAAATTCTTTTCTATGGTATGTCTGGATGTTTCCAGCTCATGAACAAATTCTATGTCTGACAATCTTTTTATAAATTAATTTTTGAACCCCATATTGAATCCAGTTACTCTGAAAAGTTTATTTTTCAAACGATATCCACAAGAACAAAAATCACCATATTGGGTTCTATTTTCATGGTGGTTTGTTTTGATAGATAATGAACTCCGCAATCTCACAACTCTTATATAAAGCAAAATATTACAAGTCATATCTAACTGAAGTAAAATTTTTAATGATGATTAATCAAAATTCCGCGGTTTCGGATTTCATTGGGGTGGCCATTTCGCATTTCTACCATCATAAATTCTCGAAATTTATTTTTGAGAACAGAATTGAACCCAGCAACACCGAAAACCATATAAATGACATGATACAATAGAATAAAACGAACAATTCAAACCATTAGACAAAATTCAAAGTCCTAAAAAAACGGTATCGGTAAAATAGTGTAATCAACAAATGGAAATTTCACCGTGTACACAATACATGAAGAATAGTGGTAACAGGTGTACGGAAGAATAAACTTAGATATCTAACAGGACAAAATGGCGATTAACTTAAAATACATTTTGGATTTTGAATTGCGGCTGTATTGGGTTTTCAAACAAATGTAATGGTTTCTTTTACGTACGAGGGGGGGGGGGGTGGATGGCTGAATGGTTAGCGTGCGCGCGCTGTATCATAAAAGCTGTCATTGAGTCGACTGGCGTGGTTTCGAATCCCCGGTTGTACGTGGCAAGGAGTAGGGTCGCCTGTCCAACCTCGAGGGTTTTCTCCGGGTCCTCCGGTTTCCTCCCACTGCTAAATATCCCTACGCGCAAGCGAATTATGTAAATAAAATTAAACCATATGTTAGTCCCGAAATGACCTAGTTTGTGTCGAGTGGACGTTAAACCCCATTTTCACTCTCTCTTTTACGTACATGTCAATGTATACACGGGGCCTTTGGTTTTTGTCCTATCCGACAAACTAGACGCCTGTCATAACATAAATCACGCTGGAAAATAACTAGGATCTTTCTCTAAGTCCATTTTATCGTATCCATGAAAGTATCTAATTAAAAATATATTTTTGTAACTGGATATGTAATATTTGTGACTTGGTACGATAGTAACCATGACGGGTTATGTGTCATTCACAAGTCTTACCAACAATACGCCAGCTGTTATAAAACCGATTTTTAGAAGGAATATTATATTTTCTGATTTACGCCAACGTCTGGTTGCTACACTGGTTGTTAGATGTATATCCGATGTACGTCATACAAACATTGGGCCATATTGTCGTATGTCTAATATACAAACTCTATCGCTAAGTCACTACAGAACCTTCTGATATTAGAGTCTGGTATTCATATGAATATAGAGCCGCGGTGGTTCGATGAGTAGAACATTGGCTCGCTAATTTGGCCAGTGTTGGCCGAGAGGTTCTCGGCATTTTCCGGTGCGATTCTCCCCTTGTCACTGGTGCAGGACAGAGGGCCCGGCAAACGACAACGTATAGTCGATCCGATGGGACGAAAACTTGAGGTCCCATGTACACATTGACGCGCACGTAAAATAACCTTGTTAGTTGGAATTCGATTTAAGAGTAGGCTACGCTTTCAGAGCAAAATTTCCATGGTAGCATCAGCCCGGTCGGAGCATAACAGTAGGGCGTTAAACCCCATTTCATTTCTCCCACTGCTAACGACCCATGGATAAAAATAAATTATAACAAGTCAGTCTTGGAATGATCTGGTAAATTAACGTCGAGTTAACGTTGATCTCCAGTCCATCTTAGTCCTTCTCTCTCTAGCGGAGTGGCATCCGAATGCATAAAGGTAGATAACCCTTGACCACGCGTAGAAGGATTCAGACTATTAATTATTTCCCCTTATTTCATGAGTCATGTAATGTAGTACGAGTTATAATTAGACAATTTTTCTCTTAATTTTTTTCTCCCCTCTTGCGGCATTTTGTGGTTGACTTTTTGGTCTAGAATTGGAAAAAAGGGATCAAATTTGCAATTACATAGCAGTTTTGGGTAATACTGATGATATTAAAGCGGGGGGATAGGGGGTGTAAAGTGAGATTTTCACCCCAGTCAACATCAAATCCCCTTAGCAAAAATTCTAAACGGTCAACTCCCTAAAACATTATGATGAGGAGATTGCCAAATGTGGTCCCCATTGTACCATGCATGCGTTTCAGCGGAATTTTGTAACAACGGACTCGAAGAACGAATCTAGACATATTCCACTAGTCATGTCAAACTGTGACGCCATATTTTTATCTGGAGAGCATGCGCAATAAATATTATGGGTGTAGACTGGAATAACCAGACGCTAGAGACTGCCATTCGATTGAAACTTCTGGCGTATTTGAAACTGATTTGAAATTGAATAAAACGGAAACGATTGAATGTAAAACAGTCTATATATATTCATATTACATTATTATATGCAAATATTAGCGATTTAGCTCATTTAAAATATTATAGCAAGAACAACCAAGTCTTTATCTAAATCTTACATAATGTATCTTTAAATGTATAGTTAAACAATATTACAATTCGTCCCACTTGTCTGAAACACCTGGTCGAATCAAACACAAATACAAACCATTGATTGTTCCCCATATAAATTGTGTTGTGTTGTATATAGACGTATATAGGCCATACAGTGTGCTATGATAAAATCGGCCTCGGACAGCAGCACCTCCCTTAATTACTATTAATTAAATTCCTTCTGCCAAAGTTGTTTTTAGTCCGCCCGTCATTAATATCCCGGTTGGTCTCACAAAGTAGGAAGTTAAACTACATTTTTCATTTTCTGTTTTAGTATTTTGAAGGGTGTCCTGTCAGTAAAAGTCGCATGGTGTAAATGTCCCTTAAGTCAATCGAGTATAACATGCCGAGTATACGTGTTCGCCTTCTCTTCAAACACTTCTTTACTTCTAAAATAAACATCACATTCTCAGACGACAGTCATTACATTACTCTAGGTCACTTGATAATCGAGTCTTGCTTTAGTCATTAATACAAACAATCCAGTACCTAATCGGACGAACATGTTTTAGTTAAAACCGTAATTAGAGGCATAAAATTAATACAATTGACATGAAATGAAATGAAATGGGGTTTAACGTCGTACTGTTCTGCTCCTAACCTGGGCTAATGAAGACGGGCATACGCCATACAGTGTGCTATGAGGGAAATTTTGCCCGGGCAGCGGCACTACGGCCTACTCTTATATCGAATTCCAACTGCCAAGGGATTTTTTACGTGCACGCCAATGTGTACACGGGACCTCGGTTTTTCGTCCCATCCGAACGACTAGACAGCTTTCCTTGTCAGCCCCTCCATCCTGCATCACTGACAAGGGAGAACCACGCCGGAAAATATGGATGAACTTTTTCGGCCAATGCAGGGATCGAACACCCGACCTCCAGGCTAGCGAGCTAGCGTCTTACCCACTTAGCCACGTGATCCCCTAATACAATTGACATTTATGGAATAAATGAAATGAAATGGGGTTTAACGTCCTACCATTCAGCTATGTCTGGGCTAATGACGACAAGCATACCCCAAACAGTGTGCGGGGGGGAATTTGGCCCGGACAGCGACACTAAGACCTACTGTCAAGGGTTATTTTACACGGGACCACCCGGACGACTATACGTTGTCCCTTAACACATGCAGAATTATAATATGGAGACGTTTTGACGAGGGTTCTCCCGTCTTTATCAAGAGAGAGAGAGAGAGAAAGAGAGAGAGAGAAATGGGATTTAACGCCCACTCGACACAGACTACGTCATTTCGGGACTAACATATGGTTTTTAATTTTATTTCAATAATTCGCTAGCGCGTAGTGGTCTTTAGCAGTGGGAGGAAACCGGAGGACCCGGAGAAAACCCACGAGGTTTGACAGGCAATTCTACTCCTTGTCACGTACAACAGGGGATTCGACTCAATGACAGGCCTTATGATACAGAGCGCAGGTGCTAACCATTCGGCCATCCATCCCCCGTCTTTATCAAGCAAAGAATGACAACCATTGTACACTGAAGATATACAAAATATGGAACAAAGAAAAAAACATGAATATACAACACAAGATAATCATTTTGAAACCATCAAAGGGGTCCTGCACTACGGAATATCCCGTTGGAATTTTTCGGCCCCCACCATCGACCAACGAAACACCATCAACATTCTGTAATGCGTGATAGTCCCGTGTGTGTTCGGCTTTAGTATGATTGTCTGACCATATATTGACAAATGAGGACAAAGTTTACTAACAACTTGAACGACTTGACCTTATTATCATTAAACTAATTACAAATTACAGCAATGTCGACCACCATCAAACAGTGGACTAAAAACATAGGAAGTGAAAGTAGAGACTGAGCGGAAAAACTAATTTAGAAAGTTTCCGATATATGTTTGTACGGTGTGTCACGCTGTCAACCCTAGACGGTAGATGTTATTTAAGAGAGCGATAGAAACATTTAGGTAAGCTTTATTTAAATTATACATACATTTAAACATATTGTTAGCTGGACTCATAGAACTTGTCGCCGGGTGATGCCATCGTTTGCCACAGTACCACCCGGTCAACTTTGCTCAGTAGCTTACCGACATTATGTAACGGTTTGTCTCGGTACCTTACCGACATTATGTAACTGTTTTTCTGGGTATCTTACCGACATGTAACGGTTCGTCTCGGTACCTTACCGACATTATGTAACTGTTTGTCTCGGTATCTTACCGACATTATGTAACGGTTTGTCTCGGTACCTTACCGACATTATATCACGGTTTGTCCTGATATCTTCTCGACCTGATGTCAAGAGTTGTCGGGGTATCTTCCCGATCCGATGTCGCGGCTAGCCTGGTTACATTCCAGACCCGATGTCACGGCTAGCCTGGTTACATTCCAGACCTGATGTCGCGGCTAGCCTGGTTACATTCCAGACCTGATGTCGCGGCTAGCCTGGTTACATTCCAGACACGATGTCGCGGCTAGCCTGGTTACATTCCAGACACGATGTCGCGGCTAGCCTGGTTACATTCCAGACCTGATGTCGCGGCTAGCCTGGTTACATTCCAGACCCGATGTCACGGCTAGCCTGGTTACATTCCAGACCTGATGTCGCGGCTAGCCTGGTTACATTCCAGACCTGATGTCGCGGCTAGCCTGGTTACATTCCAGACCCGATGTCGCGGCTAGCCTGGTTACATTCCAGACCTGATGTCGCGGCTAGCCTGGTTACATTCCAGACCTGATGTCACGGTTTGTTTTAATACCTGAAATAACTTGATGGATTATATTGAATTTTGTATGTTGGGTTGTTTATTACTTCCGAAATCCAAGTTTAAAATAGCAGTGGGTAAATATTTCATTTGATTTTATTTGTTGATATGGTTTGCTAAATCGAAATTGGCTACAATCGACAGTCTGGTAATTGGCTACAATCGACAGTCGGGTAATTGGCTACAATCGACAGTCGGGTAATTGTCTATATTAATATTTGAGACATAACTGACTTTGCGTTCAACAGTCGACAGTTTAGGCATATAACGAAACTAAATAAACAAACAAACTGACTTCCGCTTGAAATTGAATCCCTATCGAAATAACAGATCAGATAAATTCAGTTCAATATGTTATTCTGATTGTATCAAAGCGGTTCAGCGCGTTTAAGGACGTTGACTCTAATATATAATTCTAGTCGTCTCTAGTCTAATGCATAATTCTAAACTGAATCTAGTTTTATTAACAGTTCTAAAATAAATCTAGTTTTATAAACAATTCTAAACTAAATCTAGTTTTATAAACAATTCTAAACTAAACCTAGTTTTATAAACAATTCTAAACTAAATCTAGTTTTATAAAAATATTTAAATAGTTTTAATGATATTTGTGTTCAATAGACTATAGTTTTATACATAATCCTACATCGTTTTAATGTCATTTAGTAACTGAACTGGAATTCTCAAGAATACTGTTGAGCTGCTTTAAGTCTATAGTTCTCCGGTTTCCTCCCACTGCTAAAGACCCCTACCCGCAAGCGAATTATTGAAATAAAGTTGAACCATATGTTAGTCCCGAAATCACCTAGTTTGTGTCGAGTGGACGTTAAACTCTCTCTCTCTCTCTCTCTCTCTCCCTCTTTCTCAAATAACACTGCTACTTCTAAAAACGTGAAAGTAATAATATATAATCAAGACTACACTGTTACATATTCAACTTCCGTGAAACGTCCGGCCCAAACGACGTCTACATGGCCATGTGTACTACATTAATAACAGATTACCATATCATGAGATAGGCCTCCACTCGCACCGCCCATTGCTAGAACTTCTCTGATTCACAATAGAACCCGTCTCTCATCAACAGTCATCTTCACGTGGTCATTATACAAATGAAAATGAAGGATAGATAACTATGTGATCATTCTATTTGAAGGAAACCGAATCAGTCTATATGTATGGCCAACAACAAAAATCTGGAATAATTTTCTTGATGGATCAAGACCTTTAACCGATTATCATAAAGTTCTAGTGGGTTTAAGATTGTCGTTTTTACGGAGTTTTGATGTTATTGTTTAATGTTTTATATATTACTTATTATATGTCGTGTTTACATATTGTTTAGTCCTTCGGATGGTACGAAATACCGAGATCCCGTGTACACATGGGCGTGCACGTAAAAGATCCCTTGACAGTTGGAATTCGATATATGAGTAGGTCGTAGTACCGTTTTTTGGATAAAATTTCCCTCATAGCACATTGTCCGTTTTCATTAACCCAGTTCGGAACAGAACAGTAGGATGTTAAACCCCATTTCATTTCATTTCACATGTTGGTTCAATGCAGTATGTTTGATGTGACTTGTGTTTCCGTGGTGAGTGCGACAACATTTAGCTTTAACAAGTTGGGACAACATTTAACTTCAACACAGTGACTATACGGTAGAATTGTTATAACATTTACTTTCAAAACTGTGATTACATAAGTTTGTATAGTCCTATGTGTCACTCCTCTGCAACTATTTGAAGGTATACTGCCCGTTCAATGACAGTAGAATTGGTGTAATATATTGATGGTATTATATTTTTTAGTGAAAGATGAATATCTGGAGGGCGTGTTCTACTGTAATCAGTTTGTTCTGGTTAACAGGTGATACAGTTACAGGTAAAACAAAACCTTTATCAAATAAACTTAACATTCAACAAGATAATTAAAGGAGAACTGTAACACCTGTGATTCAATATTATTTTATTTATTATCAATTAGTTTCAACAATCATTATCTCGCTCAAGTTATTTGTCGATTTCATTGGATTTATTCATTATCTTGATGTATTCGTTTCCAAGCCACCGTTAATCTTGCGTTAGCTACCTATTCGCCCATTGGGTGTTGGATCCATAGTGGCGTTAGCTACCTATTCGCCCATTGGGTGTTGGATCCATAGTGGCGTTAGCTACCTATTCGCCCATTGGGTGTTGGATCCATAGTGGCGTTAGCTACCTATTCGCCCATTGGGTGTTGGATCCATAGTAGCGCAGTAAGCTTGGTACTGGCTGACTAACCACGGGATTGTGAATTCTATCCTGTTGTTGGTGGGATCTTCCAACGTGAAACCTCAATTATCAGTACTATAAAAAGGTTGAGCGCTTGGCACAAACAGACAAGTGTCTAGTAGTTCGTATTGGACGATAAACCGGGGTCCAACTGTGGACTTGGACGTAAAAGAACCCTTCACAGTTGGAATCGACAGATAATTTAATTAACTGATTTACAAATGTATTCCGAAGACAAAGTAGTACTGGATGTTTCCAAATGGTAAGCATGCTCTACTTCACGCGCGACACCCGTTTCTAGTGTACACGTAATTGCTTTCCAACTGTTTATATTCAACGTGCATTATGCTAGAGCTAAATCTGCTTATTGGAAGTCTTTTTTATAGGCCTTAAACATTAGCTAAATTATTAATTACACATTAATTAACTTACACGTCCATAATCAACTCTCGATGCGACATTGCATGGATTTGGTTACTTTTTGTGGTGGATGAAATAAACGTACAAATGGATAATCGAGACATTGTTTATAACCGTAACAACGGTAGCAATGGCGACCGAGGCTAGCCTAAAATTGAATCGCTAATATCTAGAATTAGAATGGATCAATTTGACTGAAATTTTCAGTAAATTCCCTTTACATTATCTACTTTTAAACTATCATAGTGAGAACTGCCAGCTCTTTATCGTGACGATAATAGAAAACGATAACAGTATTGGTGGCCTTCATTCGCGCAATGATAGAATTATATTTGTATTTAATCATCAGTTGTATCACATATGTAAGATTGGTGGACACCAACATTATCCTTTAAGTGTTAGTATCAACACGGTTTGTTGAAGTGGATGTCACTCGCTTTAAACGTTAAAGTAAATACCACTATATACAGTGGGTAGTGGTGACACGTTTAGACTACAAATATCAATGTTTGAAGGAAAGGCTACTGTATCGTATAAGTTGAAATCGAGTAGGAGATGTTCACACGTGTGCTTTTTTAGTTACACCAAACAAAATCTCGGAGATTAGTTCATTAGTGGTTACGTCATTCTGCACATATGGAACTATGCACTCTACTTCGAGATCTCTGCTCTAAATGGCCGCCATATTCAACAATTAGTGTAATGGGATCCTACTCCGGTTTATATCCTTTATACACAAACATGACTAATGGCACTAATTAAACCTTTTCAATTTGATTAAATGACTAATGGCACTAATTAAACCTTTTCAATTTGATTAAATGAAAACAGAATAAATACTTCTCAAAATTCTCGAAATATATTTAGTGCTTTCGACTAAAATCGTTGATTTAGGACTTAAAATGTCGGTCAACTATCTTAGTGTCTGTTCTCCAGCAGAGTTACTTTAAGACGGCCAGCGTAAGTTTAGTATGGCTAGTTCATAGAGGTCACTTACAACCATGTAGTTTTACACCAGAGTTTCTCCCAAATTTTAGCCCAGATTGTGATTGTTGTCGCAGGTAGCTGACTGTTGTCTCAGGTGTCGCAGGTAGTAGATTGTTGTCTCAGGTAACAGATTGTTGTCTCAGGTAACAGATTGTTGTCCCAGGTAGCAGATTGTTGTCTCAGGTAACAGATTGTTGTCCCAGGTAGCAGATTGTTGTCTCAGGTAACAGATTGTTGTCCCAGGTAGCAGACTGTAGTGATGGGTGTAACTGACTTACCGGTTTATATGATGTATCCACCGTAATTATCATTGTGCGTGGGGGGGGGGGGGGGCGCTGTGGCTCAGTGACAAAAACACTGGCTTGCTAGTCTGCACGTCGTGGGTTCGATCCCGGTAATGGCCGAGAAAGCTCATCGTAATTTTCCAGCGTGGTCCCCCCCCACCCATGTCAGTGGTTCAGGCCATAGAGCGTGACAAGGACAGCTGTATAGTCATTCGGATGGTACGAAAAACTGAGGTCGAGTGTACACATTGGCGTGCAGGTAAACGAGTAGGCCTTAGTGAGTAAAATTTCCCTCATAGTACACTGTATGGCGTATGCCCGTCTTCATTATCCCGGTCGGAGCAGAACAGTAGGACGTTAAACCCTATTTCATTTCACATCCGTTATAATTGAGTATTAAAAGCTGGTTATCCGAGACTATGTTATTTTTCTTTTATCAGGTAATAAAGTGAGATATGAGCGAGCTATTGGTGGAAGGCCTATATCACGTGGTCAATGGCCGTGGCTTGTGGTATTAAGAGCTACCATTACAACGCAGACCTTATTTGGTATTATACCAATACGTCATAAACATATTTACTGTGGTGGATCGGTTCTCAATGATAGATGGGTTGTTACAGCTGCTCATTGTTTTAAAGAACCAGGGTAAGTTACCTCCCCTTCTTGCGTCACATGGAATCAGACCAATAATTATTTCCCCTAAATTGCTCTATCAAGATTACACTCGATAAAACAAAAGTACATTTGAAGATTGAGCCAAATGCAACGCCTGTTGACAGCAAGTCTATCTTTCACCTCCCCACCCCTCCATTTGCTTGTCAATTGTTGTTGACGTTTTAGTCCTCATCTTAGAACAGTTTTGAATTTACCTTTCTACCAAGTTTATGTTCATGATAGTGTGGCGGAAGGAGATTATCTAAGAAAATGACGTCACATCCTATAGAATCACCAATATGTAACGGCCTTGGAGCATACTAAACCAGCTCAAAAGGGATATTTATGCAGTACTAAAATACATACATAGGGGTGGTTGCCTTCTAGAGTCATACCGTTAGACAATAGTATCCATGGTAACCATAGCTTTAATAATAATAATAATAGAAATAGAATGTTTACGTGAAATTTGAAGATGTGCTAATATTATTAAACAATTTTTGTAGGAGTCAAGCGAGAAGACCCCATAAATGGGAAGTAAGATTAGCAACCATTTCCCTGAGGGTTCGTATAAATATATAAATATCACTGACCACTTGTTCTATTTCAATATACACCAGAAGATGTGTATAGTGGTTAGCAGTTGATTTCGTTTGTGTTTAACGTCCTACTTTCGGCACCTACTGGGCTAAGAGATAAACAGGACCTCGGGGATTATATCCTACCCGAACGACTAGACACTGATTTTCACCAGGATACCCTCCCCCCCAACCCGGACCCGCCTCTCCCGCACACACACACACCCTCCTTCCCTCTTCCGTACCACTGACAAGGGGAAACCACAATCACTCACAACGGTTCCATGTTTTCCCTGAACAGGAACTTTTTGTTTTTGTTTTAAATGTTTTTGTTTTAAATGTTTTTGTTTTTAAATGTTTTGGTTTTTGTTTTACAGATGAATCCACTGGAGAGAATACGCCATGTTTTAGGTCAGATTTTCCATCGTTCTGATTGGGTACAATGGGAGATTGACGTGGAGCGAATAGTTATACATCCACAATATGATTCAGCAGGTAATGTGATAATTTCCAGATTAACATGACACAACATTGCTCTATACTGTAGTCCAGATTAACATGACAACTCATCTCTATACTGTAGTATACTAGTCCAGATTAATAGGACATAACTCATCTCTACTGTAGTATACTAGTTTGAAATGTGCGCATGATGTATTGGTTTATGCCACCACTCCGCGACGCAATTTGTCACGCGATCTTTAACTTGCAATGGTATATAACCCGGGGTCTCATCTGTTTCTTCCCTCCGCTCTGCACCACTGACACGAGGAAATATGATTTGAATATCTTTCTTGGCCTACCCAGGAAGAGTGAGAACCGTGTGAACTATAATCTAGCTCGGTAAAGTCGTAACGTTTCCCTTTCAGTAAACATAGTTTATTGTAGATTCGAGGGCCATTGATCTTACTCCTCTGAATGTCGTGGCATTTCCGATCCTGGATGCCGTGACGATATACAAATATTATGTATTATTATTGTAGATTCGTGGGCCTTACTCCTCTGAATGTCATGGAATTTCCAATCCTGGATGTCGTGGCCTTTTAAATCTATTGTGTAGTATTATTGTAGATTCGTGGGCCAATGATATAGCTCTGGTGAAACTAGAAAGATCCGTACCTTCTGGCGTTAGTTACTCAGCCATCAGACGAATAAAGCTACCAGTACAGGGAGATAACTCCTTTCCTTCTGTTGGTCAAACTTGTGTAGCTAAAGGATGGGGCTGTACACACAATGGTATTTATAAAGATTTTTATTCTGTTTTTTTTTTTTATGTCATTTCTTGATTATTAGCGTCCTACGTGTCTATACCAACCAGGTAAATGAAGTCGGGCTGTCTAGTCGTTCAGATGGGACGAACAAACGAGAACTCGTATACACATTGGAGTGCACGTAAGAGATCCCTTGGCAGATGGAATTCGATATAAAGGGCAAAATTTCCCTCATGCCCGTCTTCATTTTCCCAGTCAGAGCAGAACAGTAGGACGTTAAACCCCATTTCATATCATTTCATTTCGAATTCAAACTGTCATGAATTATTTTAACTGTAACTCTGTTTTCTCGAAGATGTCAATTGGTCAAATTCCATTCAACTGTTACTGCAAATTTCATCTGAGTCAAAAAATTTTATCCAAAGTAAAATAATTTTTCTTTATTTTATTTTATTCAGGTGAAGGTCCATCGTCTGTTGCTAGAGAATTAGAGTTACCTATATATGGAGATAGTCAATGTCGTCATCAATATCAACTGAATACAATGTCTAAACGTATATGTGCTGGGTATAGAAATGGTGGAGTAGGCGTATGTGCGGTAAGATTTTATATACCTCGATTAGTTTCCCTGACTGGCAGGTGCTCGGATAGTCTTCCCATCCAAAGGAATGGACACTCACAGATCCGAGAAGAGAGAGATAGAGAGAGAGAGAGAGAGAGAGAGAGATAGAGAGAGAGATAGAGATAGATGGGGTTTAACGTCCACTCAGTTAGTCTTCCCATCCTAAGGAGTTGACACTCACAGATACGGGATGATGAATACGGTTATACGCAATACAGTCGATCTATGAGGGAAATTTTTCACGGGCAGCAATTGACTTCCAACTGCCAAGGTTTCTTTAATGTCCAGGTCAAGGTGTACACGAGACCTCGGTTGTTTCTTTAATGTCCAGGTCAAGGTGTACACGAGACCTCGGTTGTTTCTTTAATGTCCAGGTCAAGCTGTACACGGGACCTCGGTTGTTTCGTCACACACGAATGACTAAACACTGTTCCTTGTCAGGCCCCCACCTTGTCTCACGAACAAAAGGGTAACCGCGCTGGCAAAACCCCGGGGCCAGGGACATTTTCGTTCATCATCGGGATCGAAGATCCGGACACGTTTCCTCCAGGAGACATTATATTTTATAGCCTATCTTAAAGACTATGCACCAATATATCTGGACAAATTGTGGGTGAGGAAGTGTAATTTTGAAATCCCGAATCGCCCATTTACAGTAGGGAATCAAGGGTTGGGTGGGCGAATGGTTAGAGCGTACGTGTTGTATCATAAGGTCTGTCATTGAGTCAACTGGCGTGGTTTCGATTCCCCGGTAGTACGTGACAAGGAGTGGGGTCGCCTGTCCAACCTCGTGGGTTTTCTCTGGGTCCTCCGGTTTCCCCCCCACTGTTAAAGACCCCTACGCGCAAGCGCATTATCGAAATAAAATTAAACCATATGTGAGTCCCAAAATGACCTAGTTTGTGGCAAGTGGACGTTAAATGTTAGACCCGAAATGACCTAGATTGTGTCGAGTGGACGTTAAACCCTCCCCCCTCTATCTCCCTCACCTCGCTCTCTCTCTCTCTCGCTCTCTACAAAAAGATGTATATATATTACAGGGTGACAGTGGCAGTCCTCTAGTCTGTGAGAGAGATGGTGACTATGTTCTAGTTGGTATCGTGTCATTCACCAGTCGAGATGATCCAGAATTATATCCAGCAGTTTCTACCAGAGTTTCAGATTATGTTCAGTGGATAAATACAACCCTGAGAACGTTATAAATATTGATATTATATTTAACCATTAGTAACAATTAAACGTGAAGTTGTCACCATGAACTGATATAGTCAATCATTACTTACAAATGAACGTTACTTAAAATCCTATGTTACTTTGTGTATAAAGATTCCCATTTTATTCTTAGTTACCTTTACAAACTAACTTAATAAGATGTGTATTTGTAGTCCTGAAAGTTATTAAAATTCATATTTAATCGCTAAATTGTCAGCGTTCAAGTTGTATTATGCATTACGCGCTTTATTAGAGTGGGGGGGGGGAGAGCCACGGTGGCTAAGTGAGTTAGATGCTGGCTCGCTATCCTGGAGTTCGGGTGTTCGATCCCTGCATTGGGCGAAAAAGTTCATCCAGATTTTCCGACGTGGTTTCCCCTTATCAGTAATGCAGGACGAAGGGCCTGACAAGGACAGCTGTCTATTCGTTCGGATGGGCGAAAAACCGAGGTCCCGTGTACACATTGGCGTGCACGTAAAAATCCTTTGGCAGTTGGAATTCGATATAAGAGTAGGCCTTAGCACCGCTGCCCGGACAAAATGTCCCTCATAGCACACTGTATGGCGTATGCCCATCTTCATTAGCCCAGGTTAGGAGCAGAACAGTAGGACGTTAAACCCCATTTCATTCCATTTCTTTATTAGAGTGGGAGAACCACGGTGGTTGAGTGAGTAAGACGCTCACTCGCTATCCTGGAGGTCGCCAGTTCCTTCCTGGTGTTGGCCGAAAAAGTTCATTGGGATATTCCGGCATGGTGCCCATTGTCAGTGGGGACGGACGGGGGAATGAGAAGGTCAGCTGTCTAGTCGTTCTGACGGGACGAAAAGCCGAGGTCCCGTGTTGAAATTGGCTTGCACGTAAAATATCCCTTGGCAGTTGGAATTCGACATAAGAGTGGTACGTAGCGGCGCCCTCCAACCAGAACAGTAGGAGGTTAAGCCCCATTTTATTTCATTTATTTATTAGAGTGATCCGAGCCATTGCAGGCCGATAAAAGCACCCTGGGATTGGATGACAAAAACAGAATTCCCCCTATTCATGTTGCGCATGTAATCATAAAAAATAAAAATTTTTAGTAAACCCATGCGTGAGACTTACGCGTCGCTTGCGTGTGTTTGGCACCGTAGAAGATCGCAAACTGGTCGTACAGACTTTTGGTCCTGCGCATACAACACTTTCACACGGTTTCTTGCGGCTGTCTACGAGTTACCAACCTCTACAACCCGTGCGTGTCAAAAGACGTACGACGGGTCATGGGCTAGGCTTAAGAGGGAATTTTAGTAAATAGGTGCATGAGACTTCATACGGGTCGCTTGCGTATGTTCGGCACCGTACAAATTCGCAGACTAGCCGTAAAAACGTTTGGTCCTCCACGTACAAAATCATGCGGCTGATCTGCGAGCTACCAAACCCTATGACCCGTGCTGGTTGTGAGCTAGGTTTGAGATGGGTGACTGTACTCCTTATTGCATATAAGCCCAAGGCCAGTTTTCCATGAACGCGTTTGCATAGCAATGAAACAAACTATATTACTTTTAATTAAGAAGTTCAACCCCAGCCATGTTAATCCGACTGATTTGTTGATGCTATGTTTTACTTTTATCTCGTAAAATATAATCAATTATCAGAATTGGGTATCACGTCCGCGTATACAGAAGGTAATATCTAGGGTTAGGGTTAGGGTTAGGGGTTAGAGTTGGGTATATACATGGTAATATCACAAACTATTTAATAATCTATTACAACTACCTATAATGGCCTGTGTACACCGAAGATTATTTGTCGTTGGTGAAAATCTGTCGGACAAAACACACAGCGCATACTACATTAATTTACGTCACAGACGTCGCTCGTAGGGTATCGAATGTCGAACACGATAATTCCCAATCGCCGCCATCATCACCACCGCTGTGGCTCAGTGTGTATGGCGAAACTGGACCAAGGTCGATCCGTGCCCGTGTTTGCGTGAATGTACAAGAATTCTATGAACATAATGCGGAAATGCCGCTGTCATGACCACATGTTACCCATGGCACACTGTAGTTCGCATGCCCATCTTCACTGTGTCATTTCATTTTATTTCAGCATGGTTATTACGATCATTATTTATGCGTTCAAGTTGACAATACGTGTCTGCAGAGGAAACACTGTAGGGGATGGCACGTCGGGGAGCACAAAGCAACCATTATTCGTCAGTGATGGAAACCCCCTGACAGTCTATCCTTGGTGTGAACAGGGCTTAAGTCATACAGGTTATAATAAAATGCAACGAAGCAAGCTTCCTTCTAAGCGCGTGTTTAACGATATTACCGATATGTGACCAATCATTTTCATCTGAATTGTTTTTAATAAGTAATCACCAATAACATTAAAACTCCATCAGTGAATATGACAGACAGCCATAGGATATTGTTATAGGAAACAGTAGGATAGTTTAGTGTCTAATATACATAATTTATATACGTAAGAAGACGGGTATGTAGGGGACTAGTGCACGACACCTGTTTATTTATATATCTACCAAGAGAGAGAGAGAGGGATGTGGTTTAACGTTCAATCGACACAAACTAGGTTATTTCGGGACTGACATATGGTTCAATTTTGTTTACATAATTCTCTTGAGCGTAACGGTCTTTAGCAGTAGGAGTAAACCGGAGGACTCGCAGAAAACCCACGAGGTTGGAGAGGCGACCCTACTATTTAGCTAGAAGGATAAAACTGAAAATATTATTGAATATTTTATGGGGTCAAATAATGTCTGTAAGTGATAATAATAAGGATCGTTGATTTGGGTTTTCTTGTGCATCTTGTGGTGGATGTCATACACGAAGCAGTATGACAATATATTTAGATTGGAGCCTTGTCATTGGCCATAAATTAAAATATTTATTAAGACTTTAACTTTTCAGGCAAGAAAAATGTTAGTTTTAAGGATACAAGTCTATACATTAGCTATGTGAACTTCCCGAACGAGAAGGGATATCAGGTGTTCTAACAATAGCTAGCATACTCTGCTAGTGAACTGGTAATATATACGTTTATATAGGTTAGGAAGGTAATATATACGTTTAGAAGGGTAAAACTGGCGGACATCCCGAAGTTTAAAGGGTACTGCTGTAGTTTAAAGGATACGACTGTAGTTTAAAGGACACGACTGTAGTTTAAAGGATACAATGTTAGTTTAAAGGATACAATGTGAGTTTAGTCGATAAGACTATAGTTTAAAGGATACGACTGTAGTTTAAAGGATTCGACTATAGTTTAAAGGATACGACTATAGTTTAAAGGATACGACTGTAGTTTAAAGGATACAACTGTAGTTTAAAGGACACGACTGTAATTTAAAGGATACGTCTGTAGTTTAAAGGATACAACTGTAGTTTAAAGGACACGACTGTAGTTTAAAGGACACGACTGTAGTTTAAAGGATACGTCTGTAGTTTAAAAGATGAAACTGTAGTTTAAAGAACACTGCTGTAGTTTAAAGAAAATAACTATAGTCTACAAAACTTTAGTTTAAAGGTTTAACGGGTGGGACCATAGGTTAAAAGTTAACACAGAAGTTTATTTGCTGAGGGAATTCAATCATAAGCTTGGGTAGAAGAACTGTAAGAGTGTTATATCTGTAATCACCAATGGTGAACGGAAGGAAACAACGAATTCACTAAGAGGACAAAATAATTATTCAATCCACGTCACAAGGTAATTTTGTGGTTTTTCAAATGTGAACCTTGCCCAACTTCTCTTCGTGGGTTTTCTCCGAGTTCTCCGGTTTCCTCCCACTGCTAAAGACCCCTACACGCAAGCGAATTATTGAAATAAAATTAAAAACCATATGTTAGTCCCGAAATGACCTAGTTTGTGTCGAGTGGACGTTAAACTCCATTTCTCTCTCTCTCTATCCATGTTAGAGCCACGGTGGCTCAGTGAGTAAGACATTGGCTGCCTAACCTGGAGGTCACATGTTCGTTGCCCACATTGGCCGAGAATGTTCATCGGGTTTTTACCGGCGTAGTTTCTTCTTGACAGTGGCGCAGGGCAGAGGGCGGGACAAGGACAGTTGACTATTCGCTCAAATGTCGTGGCAGTTGAAATTCGATATAACAGTGGGCTTTAATGCGGTTTTGACGCACTGCAAAAGACCCCTATGCTCAAGCGTATTATTGAAATAAAATTGAACCATATGCTAGTTCCGAAATTACCTAGTTTGTGTCGAGTGGACGTTTCTGTTACCTGGCCTGTTACCTGGCCTGTCTGTTCTCCTATAGTTCATTATCTACTTCATACTCGGTAAGCATGGAACTGGCACACAACACCAGGACGCCTCGGGTTAGATGAAAAAGTTCATCGATATTTGAGAGTTTGCTAGGAAAAACGTCTAGGCTGGAGTGAACGCAACAATAGAGATCTATGTGCACGTAAAAGAACCGTCGGCAGTAGAAATTCGATGACGAATAGACGGAAACACAGCAAACGAGACAGGATATTGTCGCACACTTGGTTGGTGTACATACAATAAGATGTTTAATCCCAGGTTGTCAATCAATGTACGGTGATCTGTTGTTGCTAGGTGAATATTCGTTAAACAGATTAACCATGTGGTAGTTAGTGAACACGTGTTCTTCAACTTGATATTTCAGTTAGTTAGTAAAACCAACCAAGTGGAGATTGTTTAGTTGAAGTATTATACAAGTCTGATAATAGGTAATGTTATATACTAGTGATTAACGGTTCTAGAATCAGGTTGGAGTCTGTTTTAAGGTTTCTAGAATCATGTTTGAGTCTCGATAATAAAACACGCAGCCACCTACTGTCATCAATACGCTGTAGCCGTTTAATTGTTTCCGTTGAGACTCGATTCCAATAACTGCTCAAGCTGATCTTTAAAAATAATTGTCAGTAATCTCGAAATACAAAATGGATTATTCCATGTCATACAAGTGAAAATAAAACACGCTATTTTTACAGTTGAGGTATCCTTCTTATAAGTAAATTAAATTAAAAGATTACATAAAACATGGAGAATAACGATATAAAATTATTCTATTTAAATCCTGAATAACGAAACAAACGCCCTGCCTTGTTATTCGTTATTAGCTCGAAAAACAAAATGTACTCTTTTTATGGCATAGACTTGAAAAGATGTCTACTTGCTGCTTAGGCATCCGTCTTACAGATATATTGTGATCCACGATGGTTCAGTGAGTAAGACGTTGGCTAGCTAACTAAGGGATCGTTTGTTGGCCGAGAAAGTTCATCGATATTTTCCGGCGTGGTTCAAGCTTGACGGCGGTGCTAGACAGGCTCTGACAAGGGACAACGTATAGTCCTTCGGCTGGGACAAGAAATGTGGTACAGTTATTGAAATTATGAAAATGGTAATGGTAATTCCAATTCAAATAGGCTGTAGTATCGCTGTCGGGACAAGACTGTCCAGTATAGTACACTTATCCGACTTCATTAGCCCAGTCGGTTCAGAATAGTAGGTCGTTAAACCCCATTAACTAACCGTTCTGTCTCGTTATTTGTTATTCAAAATTTGAATCCGAATAATAAATAACGAAACAAGAATTAGTTAATATATTCCTTCCTGTGGTTAGAATTAGTTAATATATTCCTGGTCTATCTCAAGTTATAATTAGTTAATATATCATCGCTGGGATATAATTAGTTGATATATTCCTTCCGATGGTTAAAAATAGTTAATTTATTCCTTCCTGTGATTAGAATTAGTTAATATATTCCTGGTCTATCTAAAGTTATAATAAGTTAATATATTCCTTCCTATCTCTAGTTAGAATTAGTTGATATATTCCCGCCTATCTCTAGTTAGAATTAGTTAATATATTCCTTCCTATCTCTAGTTAGAATTAGTAAATATATATATTGGAAAGGGATATTGCGTGTATAATATTTTATAAATGAATATCATCATCAAGCAAATATTTTATATTAGAGATCTTTTTGTCATTACAAGTTGCTTTGGAATTTTTATTTTTTAAGAATTTAATCCCGTTAAAAGCATTCAAGATGATTTCGATCGAGAATACACCAGCTTCTGGGTAGGTATCATATATATCTGTAGTATAGAAAATCTTGAATTGTTTCACGGTGACTGCACATATATTATGATCACTAACCAAAACATCAATCGGGGGCATTTAGAGATTGGTCATGTTGTTTTTATAACTTAATATGGCTACTTAAACAAAGACTTGACATGTTTTGTTTTTTTTATAAATTAATAAAAATATTTGCAAATTGTTTCAATGTCATTTAGTAGTTGACCTAGAAAATACAGGTTAGAATATATATAATACAGTTAGTGTTTATTACTGGGCGTCGTTTCCACGAGGCTTCAATAGAAGGCTTGATCTCGCTTGAACTATACGTACATCCAGATGTTGTAAAACTCGGCAGTCGTTGCTTCAGGAACATGGTTTCCACTAGGCTCCTCTGGCTATTATCAGTGACCATGTATTGTTTTATACATGTATAGATTGTCTTCTTATATCTTGTTATATTTTATCATTGTTTGATAAAGACAAGAGACGACTAGTTAACATGTAAAATAATCAGTAATTATATTCCCTCGAATTGTCACCTGTATAGAACATTATAACTGGCCAATATTGAATATTATTTAACATAATCAGTAATTGTATTCCCTCGAATTGTCACCTGTGTAGAGGATTAGTACTGATCTATATTGAATATTATTTTAACATAATCAGTAATTATATTCCCTCGAATTGTCACCTGTGTAGAACATTATAACTGGCCAATATACGGTGGATTACACAGATTTGTTTTATTAAAATATCAAGATCCAGATTATTAAACTTACACGCCATGGAATATTAAAGATTTAACGCTACATTATATGATAAGATTTTTCTGGATAATATTTCTATAGACCTTGTCAAATAAGTTACTTTTGAAAGAAAAAGTCCCCATTATCCCAGTCGGGGCAGAACAGTTAAATCCAATTTCATCGATAATTGCTCACCGTGTTCTTTTTTCTTTTTTCATAAACATTAAATAAAAGTGTATTTGTAGTATTTCTATTGAAATGTGCTCGGCAAGCATGAAATGTGTTTTTCAGATAAATTAAAACCATGACACGAGACTGAAAGGCGAACCCGATAACCCGAGATATGCAAAATTTTTAATGTGATGTGATAATTAGTTATTTGCAAGATAATGCTCGTGCGTATATCTCCCTCAAATATGTTAAGGTGAACAAAGGGCCCCTGTTAATTTTGTTAAAACTCCGTTTTTGTTATAGTGTTAATGAAGATGTCACGTGGTTGGAGAAAATGGAAAAGACGTTTACACAAATAGCTGGAGAAGATAAGAAAATTGATTTTGATGAATTCAAGCGAGCTCTAAATATTAAAGAGGTTGGACTTTCTTATTTTTACAGGAGCAGCGGTGTCTCGGTGAATAAACGTTGGCTTGCTAACCCAGGGTTCGTGCTCGATCCCTGCGTTGGCCACGAATGTTTATGAAGCCCCCCGCGGCTTCCTATAATAATGATACTAGTTGTACTTTAAATTAGTTCATTGGCATTTAATAATTGTACTGAAATATACAGGTCACAATTCTATTGTATACAATTATTGCTTATTACTAAGTGACGTTTTGACTAGGCTTCTCTTATTCTTTATCAAGCTATGATAAAATATAACATATAACGAGGTCAGTTGATCGTCGTAAAGTAGGAATTGTAGAGAGGGTCTACACCTTGGGGTTCTACTCCGACAGGGTTACTGAAGACGGGTATATGGCATACATTGTGCTATGAGGGGAATTTTCCCGGACAGCGGCGCTACGGCCTATTCTTATATCGAGTTCCCACTGTCATTGGATTTTTTACGTGTACACGGGACTTCGGTTTTTCATCCCATCCAAACGACTATACAGCTGTCCATGTCAGGCCCTCCGTCCTGCACTACTTACAAGGTGAAACCACGCCGGAGAGTCCACATGAGCTATTTCGGCCAACAGTATTCCATATTGTGACCTGTAGCAGTTCAGGTTTATAACTTGCTTGAATGTTGACCAAAAGATGATATGAGACGTTGGCTAGGTGAGTGAAGAACGCTAGATCGGAGGTGAAGGGTAAGTGTTAGCACCAGCTCTTTTTAGATCTCGAGACTTTAACGAAATCTGTAAGGTCCTAACCCTAACCCTCAATCCGCATCTCACGTCATATGTGCTAAAATGTACAGGATAGTCTCCTGCCTAGCGTTCTGGCGTTCTCCTAAGTGAATACAAATAGTCAAAATAAATAACATGTAGCCATAGTAACGATAATCGTAGGCTCCTTCCGGTCACTGAACACGTGACCATAATAAATAGAAGGGACATGTCAGTATCAGAATGACCTATGTGTTATTATCTTGAAGGCGGGTTGAAGTATATTTCCCTATTCCAGTATTCTAATACATCTAAACTGTTTTCAGTCTTTTTTCGCTGAGCGTTTCTTCCAACTGTTTGACCAAGATGACAGCGGTACAATAGAACTACAAGAGTTATTGGATGGTCTGCGCATGCTAACAGGTGCTGACGCGGCACGGAAACTCGAGTTTTTATTTGATGTTTACGATGTGGATGGTAAAATTATTTATATTTTTATTTTTAAAAAGAAAAACATTGAGTTTTACAGTCGACCTATTTTCTAACAGTTCTATAGGACTAGGTGGTGTTTTTATCGTGAGCCACAATGGCTCACTGATTAGGACGTTGGATCGATAACGTGCACGTCAATGAGCACCCGGGACCTCAGTTTGTCGTCCCATCCGAACGACTAGACGTTTTTCTTTGCCAGGCCATCTGTCCTACAACATTGACATTGAGGAACAACACAGGAAAATCCTAATGAACTTTCTCGGCCAACGTAAGGATCGAACACGCGACGCTTATAGTCAACGTCCTACTCACTGGGCCACCACCCATATATGCAGGACGTTGATCCCAATTCCATTTTTGAGGGGAGTTGAATGGCCAAATGGTAAGCATGTGGGCGCTGTATCATACGGTCTGTCATTGAGTCAACTGGCGTGGTTTCGATTCCCCAATTGTAGTGACAAGGGGTTGGGTCGCCTGTCCAACCTCGTGGGTTTTTTTTCCGGGTCTTCCGGTTTCCTCCCACTACTAAATTGTTGAAATAAAATTAAGCCATATGTTAGTCCCGAAATCACATAGTTTGTGTCTAGTTGATGTTAAACCCCATTTCCCCCCCTCCCCCATTTCCATTTATTTCTATGAATTCCAGGTAATGGTAGTATAGACAAATATGAATTACTGACAGTTTTACAGTCCAGTGTACACGAAAGTTCATTAAGTGTTAGTGATACAGATTTAGAACTTTTAACGGACGTATTGTTCGAGTCAGCAGATTCAGATGGAAGCGGTTCAATATCATTTGACGAGTTGAAGGAAGAACTCGAGAAACATCCAGGACTTCTAGAAAATCTGACTATAGGGTAAGATATATTTTAATATTATTACAGTCCTAAACACAACTCGGAGGTTTGGTAAAAATCCAACCAGATATAAGACGTCTTGATCAATTACCAGAGCAATCCATCAACCAACCAATCTGTTTAAAACACAGATCCTATTTCGTTTCGTTTTTTTATAGTTCAAAATTCCGTTTAGCTTGTCTTTACTACACTAGGATCTGGAAGAGTTGTTATCATTGACGTGTTCTGAATGATGTGAGTAATTAGCCAATGAAACGGTCTGCTACGTTGATTGATTAATCAATGTCTGACGACAAAAGGCCAAAAGCCGCTAGTATGACACCTGACGCGACCTTCCACTACGACCGGTCAGATCTTCATGTTGTGTATGCCATCGAAAAAACAAAAACAAAAAAACAAAAAAAACAAAAAAAACGAAATACTAGTATACATCTGTATTCTAATCAGATTACCAATTAACTGATATTTGATGCCGTTTCCCTGGCTTTTTACTTTATCTTTATAAAAGAAGGACTGATTTTGATAAAATGAAATGATGTTTAACGCCCTGCGGTTCTGCTCCGACAGGACTAATGAGGACGGATAATTATCTATAACCATTTATTTTACAATGACTACAGCAGAATTTGTTGATAATGATCTGAATACTCTAGAAGTAGAGATCTTCCCGAAACCCAAGGAACTTGGTAGTAAAGAACTACCATCATCAATATTCAGGGTGGGACCAAAAACATGTCACCCATTTTGGGGTGTGTGGATGACCGGATGTGCGCTGAATCATAAGGTCTGTTGTTGAGTCAATTGGCGTGGTACGTTACAAGGAGTAGTGGTTTTCTCCAGGTCCTCCGGTTTCTTCCCACCGCTAAAGACCCCTACACGCAAGCGAATTATTGAAATAAAATAAAACCATGTGTTATGTTAGTCCCGAAATGAACTAGTTTGTGTCGAGTAGACGTTAAACCCCATTTCTGTCTCTGTGTTACCCATTCTGTTAGTCCCGAAATGAACTAGTTTGTGTCGAGTAGACGTTAAACCCCATTTCTGTCTCTGTGTTACCCATTCTGATTGTACACTACTTTTTCAAATGTGATTACTTTAATATTTGTTTCAGAAAACTATGTCACAGAAGCATTGCGTATTTACTGGAGACCAATAAAAACTTCATGTTTCCACGACAATCAAAATGAGTAACATGTTTTTTATTGGCCTACCCTAGTCTCATATTGAATTCCATCTGCATCACTGCGAGGGGGGAGCCACACTGAAAAATCAGTGAGCCGGAAGTATTCTCACTGAATCACCGTCGCTTCTGAACTAAAGAGACAGAGCGAGATGGGGTTTAACGTCCACTAGACACAAACTAGGTCATTTCAGGACTAACATAATATGTTTTTTCAATTTGATTTCAATAATTCGCTTGCGCGTAGGGGTCTTTAGAAGTGGGAGGAAACCGGCGGACCCGGAGAAAACCGACGAGGATGGAGCTTCTGAACTAAAAGGTGGGATTTGTTATAAAGATGTTAATTTATTGACAAGGTTATGAATGTTACTATGACATTTTCAAATGAATATTCCTGCCGTTTCAGTGCTGCACAATGGTTGAAACCAAGAACGACAGAGATGAAGGAGAAGGGAACGTATCGTTATTTGACGATCAAGTACTGGAGGAATAACAGCAAAAAGGGTGTTCTGTTCTTGTTGTACTTCCTGGTGAACATTGGGTTGTTTGTGCTTGGTTGCTATAACTACCGGACATCGAACGGGTTTGTCATAGTGGCACGTGGCTGTGGCATGGCGCTAAATTTCAACTGTTCATTTATATTAGTGTGCATGTTAAGGCGGTGTATAACATTCATCCGTTCGTTCAAACAGTCACAGTTCCTTCCCTTGGACCAGCATATATTATTACACAAAGTTGTTGGTATGGTGATAGGACTACTCAGTCTCATCCATTCTCTTGCGCATGTCGGCAATGCTGGTAAGTAGAATTTATTGTCTTTATAATGAAATAAAATGAAATGGGGTTTAACGCCTACTGGGATAATGAAGACGTGAATACGCCATACAGTGTGCTACGAGGAAAATTTTGCCCAGGCAGTGGCACTGTGGCCTACTCATATCGAATTCCATCTGCCAACAGATCATTCACGTGCACATCAATGTATACATGGGTCCTCGGTTTTTCGTACCATCCGAACGATTGCACAACTGCCCCTGTCAGGCCCTCCGTCCTGCACCACCGGACAAGGGGAAACCACGTCGGAAAATCCCGATGAATGCAGGGATCGAACACGGGAACTACATGGAGTCATATAAAGAGAATGGAATTTGAAGTCTTGTCAACTCAATATTTTGATATTTTGAGACAAACCAATGGTATTTTGATTTATATCTCTATGGTTACGTTTAAAATGTTAAGGGGGGTAATTTTGCCCAGACAGTGGCGTGTCATCCTGTTCTTTATGGTACCCCACACGTAAAGTCTGCTTTCACTGGCATGCTAAGTCTACAATAAATACACAACAATCAATAAAAATTTCACATTCTATCCCAAGATAATGCAAAATGAATATATTGATCATTTCATTCAAATTACCTTAATGCGAGCGAAGATATTAGCCTTTGAAGGTTTGACAAGACGTGTGTATTAATTACAAACACCGTACTGGGTGTTCGAAGCCAAGTCTCGCTCCTCCATTTTTAAATTAAATCTAGATATGACTGAACCGTTCTAATCTACTTAAACATACATTATGACGTCACATTAATAATGATGTCATTGTAATAATCATATCAAACATACATTATGCAAGAGCTAAATCTGGCTATTGCAGTTTTTCTTTAGAAATGAATTAGACATTAATTAACCTATCCAGACCATAATCAACTCTAGATGGTATCGCTAGCCTGCGATCTTTAGTGGATTATGAACCGATTTACTGCATAACTTTCCTACACGATTTAACGATCAAATGAATAATCGAGACTATGCTGTTTATCGTACTGACTATAGTAATGATGATCGAGGCTAGGCGGAAATTTCAATCGCTTAGTTCTCGGTTCATAGTGGATGAATTTGAATGAAATTTTCATCAAATTGCCTTTACATTATCTAGTTTTTAACTATTATAATGCGAACTGCCAACTCGTTATCGAATCTCCCATAATGTATCTTTAATATCGATGGCACCAAGAGTCGATTTTGGCCTTGTCATGTTAATAGATGTCTCATGAATAGTTTATATAACATTTCAAGATTATCTGCAATGGACAGATTTAGCTCTTGTATAATGTATGTTTGATATGACTATTACAATGACATCATTATTAATGTGACGTCATAATGTATGTTTAATGAATTAAAGCACGTTCTTTTACTGGGGATTTAAAATCCGTTCTACGGTTGCTTTTTGCTTTTTATATATTTTAGCTCTTGTGTCTCGTCATTTGAATTTGACTGTACCGGAGTTTTTGATTACAACAAAAGCCCAGCTAGGATGGGTGTATGGGTTAGCTCCCTTGTCTGGTGTTATATTGAACGCCATACTTATTGTCATCATAATTTGTTCCTTGCCCTTCATCAGACGATCAGGAAAGTTTCAGGTATGTTTCAATTTGATCCCAGGTATGTTTCAATTTGATCCAATTTTGGAAATTTCATTCAACCTGAAATGAAATGAAATTGGGTTTAGCGTCCTACTTACGCTAATGAAGAGCAGCAAATGCCATTCAATGTTTATTGAGGAAATGTTTCCAATTTTTAAGTTGTCTTTTACGTGTTTACTGGACTTCGGGTTTTCATCCCATTGGAATGATTTGATGCTGTACCTTGCCCAGGCATCCTTAATACACCCCTCAATGACAAGGGCAATCCTGTCTGGAAAATCCCTAGGAATTGTAGGACCATGTATTGTAACTGTTCTAACGAGCCATGTATTGTATTGTAACTGTTCTAACGGACCATGTGTTGTATTATAACTGTTCTAACGGACCATGCATTGTATTGGAACTGTTCTAACGAGCCATGTGTTGTATTATAACTGTTCTAACGGACCATGTGTTGTATTGTAACTGTTCTAACGAGCCATGTGTTGTATTATACTTGTTCTAACGGACCATGTGTTGTATTGGAACTGTTCTAACGAGCCATGTACTGTTCTAAATCGGACCATGTATTGTATTGTAACTGTTCTAACGGACCATGCATTGTATTGTAACTGTTCTAACGGACCATGTATTGTATTGTAACTGTTCTAACGGACCATGTATTGTATTGTAACTGTTCTAACGGACCATGCATTGTATTGTAACTGTTCTAACGGACCATGTATTGTATTGTAACTGTTCTAACGGACCATGTATTGTATTGTAACTGTTCTAACGGACCATGTATTGTATTGTAACTGTTCTAACGGACCATGTATTGTATTGTAACTGTTCTAACGGACCATGCATTGTATTGTAACTGTTCTAACGGACCATGTATTGTATTGTAACTGTTCTAACGGACCATGCATTGTATTGTAACTGTTCTAACGGACCATGTATTGTATTGTAACTGTTCTAACGGACCATGTATTGTATTGTAACTGTTCTAACGGACCATGTATTGTATTGTAACTGTTCTAACGGACCATGTATTGTATTGTAACTGTTCTAACGAGCTATGTAATGTATTGTGACGGATACATAGATTGATCTGTGGGTGTTCTAACCGGCCCTTGTTTTCTAACGGACTCGAGTGTGTATTCTAACTAGTCTACTCATTTGTTCTAATGGACCATGTTTTGTATTGTGGGTGTTCTAAGAGGCCCACGTGGTCTAACGGCCCCGAGTAGGTATTCCAAATGACCATGTTTTGCATTGTGAGTGTTTAACGGCCCCAAGAAGGTGTTCTAACGGACTCAATCAGGTGTTCTGTATTGTGGGTGTTTTAACGGACCCTATATTGTATATTATAGGTGTTCTATTGGACCCATATTTTGTACATACCATTCTGGCTGTTGATTATAATTCACGCCAATAATTTCTGGATATGGTTTGTAATTCCTGGTGTAATATTCCTGGTGGAGAAGATATCACGATCTAAAATATTAAAACTAGCGGCTTATGGTGAAACACATATTGTTGAAGTCAATCTATTACCTTCAAAGGTAATTACTTTTATATTTCATGTAGCACAAAGCCGATCATGACCCATACTAGTATTTGTATTATACAACGTTTGGGAGAGGGAGAGAGAGAGAGAGAGAGAGAGAGAGAGACGTCCACTCGACACAAACTAGGTCATTTCGGGACCAACAAATGGTTCAAATTTATTTCAATAATTCGCTTTCGCGTAGGGGTCTTTAGCAGTGGGAGGAAACTGGAGGACCCGATGAAAACCCACGAAGTTGGACAGGCGACGCTACTCCTTGTCACGTACAGCCGGGGAATGGAAACCACGCCAGCTGACTCAATGACAGACCTCATGATACAGCGCGCACTCAACCCCCCTGATTGACTTATAGACCTCGTGGTGTTAAAACACTGTAATGTAATGGTGATGATCGTTATTTATAGGTGACCCATCTGGTAATATCCAAACCACCAAAATGGCGATACCGACCGGGAGATTATGTATTTATACAAGTACCAGATATAGCCCGCAACGAATGGCATCCTTTTACCATTAGTAGTGCACCAGAATTACAAGGTACCATTTTAATTTAAATACGGTCAGGCTAGATCATCCATAGCAACGAATTACATCCCTTTGACCATTAGTAGTGCACCAGAATTACGAGGTACCATTTTAATGTACATGCAACGAATGGCATCGTTTTACCACCAGAATTACAAGGTACACACCACCAGATTATATCTCCCATAGCAACGTCGGTAAGAAATAAATCCGTTAAAAAACGTTAAAACTTCTGGAAACAAAATTGAGCAGAGATTTTTATTCGTATTTGTTTTTCCTATAATCCACCGAAATTCCATTTTCAAAGACTGGAAATAAATTCCTGGTAACTTTTTTTTCCAGAACATTTTCCCCGTTTTTTTTAAAACATAGGCCTATTTCAAAATCCGTAAATCACAAAATAGCCCTATATAGAAAACAACTATTAGGACAAGTCGAGAGTTTATCCTACAAGGTACAAATTGGGGATAAAAACCGATTTCCTAATAAGGAATTATCTAATCAACGTTTACATTGATTTGTATTTTCAGGGTTTTTTTGGTTGCACGTGAGGTCAGCAGGTCACTGGACCAATAAATTATATGAATATTTTGAAGAATATAACCCAGTTGTAGAATTAGCTGGGGTTTATAATAAAGGTATTCCTTAATTTTTCGTCCGATATTCACGTGTTTAACAACATAAACATTGATAGGACAACTGATTCAAACTATCTTGAAAAATGTCATGAAAAATATTATTTTCTTTTAAAATACATTAGATTCATGGCACTCTAAAATTTATAACGTAGGCATAACCAGGGAGCGTGTGAGTAATACATGCAAACTATATAACTACTGTTCTGCCCCGACTGGGCTACTGAAGACGGCCATATTGTGTGCCTGAAGACAATTTTCCCCACTATGGCTTACTCTTATATCGAATTCCATCTGCCAATGGATCTTTTACGTGCACACCAATGTGTACACGGGACCTCCATTTCTTCGTTCCTTATCAGGTCCGTCCGGCATCAGCGACAAGCAGAAACCACGCTGGAAAAATCCGACGAACTTTCTAGGCCAACACCTCCAGACTAGCGAGCCAGCGTCTCACACACTTAGCCAGCGTGGCTCCCCATAACAACCGTTGATGTTTGAGGCCAAACGAAAGATTCGTATTAGGCAGATTTAGCTCTTGAATACTACATCTTTAAGTAAAAAAACGCTTATTATATTGACACGATAGTTTGAACGCATGAGTCTTGTTCCATCACTAGAAATAAGGCCTGGGTTCGTTCCAATAAGGGGAGCTAAATCTCTATTCTTTGGCATCTAGAAATGGACACAAATGGGGCCCAATGCATATGATGATGTAATATGAATGTATATAAACTGATTTACATTCAGTCGTTATGTTCGGCGAAATACGCGAAGAGTCCAAATTGAATGACAGTCTTTGGCATCTGGTTCATTTCTAGGTCCCAAATATTAGCGATTAAGCTCCTTTGAATTGACCAATAAGATTGTGGATGATATTGCGTTAGCGACTTGCTTCCTTTAAATACCCCATTGTGACTTGAATAGAATATTTTTTGTATTTTATCCTGTCATTCTCTATTGATATTATTTATATAAAATGATCGTATTCCAGGTTTCAGTGAAAGCTTACATAATATGGAGACCGGCATGGAACACGGCAAGTATCGTAAATGCTCTAATGTTCGTCGTGTAAGTGTATTTAAAATTATTATTTTCAAACATGTTTTAGATTTTAGCCGGGATTGACGTGATCTGAATTAACAGATCCAGGGTGAGTATGGCTCATTGAGCAGGGGGTCCCTAGTTTAATCCCGCTATTGGCCGGAAAGTTCCTCGGAGTTTCAACCCGGTTCCCCGTTTGTCGGTGGAAGGGGTGGTGATGGTGGGGTGCTGTCAAGGAAATACGTGGAACCAATGTTGTTTAATGGTTGGGAATTTCCACCATAGGTTGTGAAGTAACAGGGGTCTAACATGGGGAGCGTCTATATCGAGATGACGTGTGTACCGAGTATGTCATTTACAGCACGTTAAATATCCCCTGAAAGTTGTTCATCAACAATCTCTATCAAGAGTCACTTCTATATAGTCGGGCATGTTTTAGTTTTAGTCATAGTAGTACACGTATTAGCTTTGTATATACGAGTCGTACATGTTATAGCTATAATGGATATACGAGTCGTACACGTTTTAGCAATTTTTAAAGAAATTTACCTGCTCTTGAGAAATACTTTGTGTCAAGAAGGTTAGTGTTTGTGATCTGTAATTTGGTTCTTTAGAATAACATATTTATTTTTCTTGGCGAGGATCATATATAATATCGCATTGGGTTGTTTTAGAAAGTGTTATGAGATGTTCGTGAAATGAATGATGTTCAGCGTTTACTGCACTTAAATATACATGTTCAGAGCGGCAAATTTCAACTGGTCGAGTTTTGCGACAATTTCATGATAAAACTAATCTTCTTGTTCTTTTTATAGAAATCTATGAGTAGACGGAAATCCATCACAACGCCATCTATGAGGAAAAGGACAGTCCGAGTTAAGGTAGTGAATTTATATTATTACGATAAATATTTTATATTTCATTAATTTGTTGACGTATACGGTAGTTTGTAAAGTTGAAAAAAGTCCTATGTCACCCCCTCCCCAACGCATACTACTAGCAATAAATCCATAAATTTTGCTAGCATATATGGGCAACCGTGGTGACTCGCTAGCCTGGAGGTCGCGTGTTCGATCCCTGCATTGGTCGAGAAAGTTTATCGAGATTTTCCAACGTGATTTCCCCTTGTCAATAGTGCAGAATGGAGGGCCTGACACGGACAGCTGTCTAGTCGTTTGGATGGTACGAAAACCCGAGGCCCTGTGTAAACATTGGCGTGCACGTAAAAGATCCCTTGGCAGTTGGAATTCGATATAAGAGTAGGCCATAGTGCCGTTTTCCAGCCCAGCGCAAAATGTACCCCATTTCACACTATATCACGTATGCCCGTCTTCATTAGCCTGGTCGGACGTTGGACGTTAAACCCCATTTCCTTTCATTTGCTAGCATATATGGTTTATACTAAGGGGGGGGGGGGAATGGCCGAATGGTTAGCACGTGCGCGCTGTATCATACGGTCTGTCATTGAGTCAACTGGCGGGGTTTCGATTCTCCGGTTGTACGTTACAAGGAGTGGGGTCGCCTGTCCAACCTCGTGGGTTTTCTCCGGGTCCTCCGGTTTCCTCCCACTGCTAAAGACCCCTTTTACGCGCAAGCAAATTATTGAAATAAAATTGAACCATGTGTTAGTCCCGAAATGACCTAGTTTGTGTCGAGTGGACGTTAAACCCCATTTCTCTCTCTCTGGTTTATATTACAGGTATATATAGACGGACCATTTGGAACATCAACACGTGATATATTTGAAACAGAACATGCAATATTAATAGGATCAGGTATAGGTGTAACACCGTTTGCATCAATATTACAGAGTATCATCTATAGATTTCATGCTTGCTCTATCACCTGTAACAATTGTGGAACCACATCCTATAATCAACAGCTACAAAGAATGAAACTTAAAAAGGTACAAAAATATATACAAAATTTCTTACTTTAAGTTAGGCCCGGGAGTCCTCAACAATTAAAAGATTTTGGTGCCATTTAGGAGACAACCACTGTCAAGATTGGTCGCATTATTTCTGTTACGTCTTTTTTGTATTCCTGACTGTTTTCAAATTTGAGTGAAGTCAGTGTCACTACAGGCCAAGGACTGTACAGCGCAGTGGACGCTTACAGCTGGCCCCCGGATCCATTCACTTGATTCGATATTTGTTTATTTGGTGCAATGTCTATTTTCTGTCTTGTCCGCAGGTTTATCTTGTAGATTTTTATTTTGCGTGTAGTGCGGTCTTCCTGCACTTATTACTATATGTAATTCAAAATATAAATAATAATAAACCACAAACAACCACCAAGAACGTGATTAAAGTTTTTCTGGGATTGTATAAACCTCATTATTAATTGCGATAAAACAGGTAACAGGTATGAAAAGACAAAAACAATTTTATTTTTAAATTAAATATTTTAAATTAGGCATCTAACAAAGCCGACGTGCTGTGATGCCCCCATTATCATTGTCAGACCCCCCACCCCGTCCTGCACCCCTGACAAGGGGTAACCCCGCCCGATATCCCTATCAACTTTCTCGGCCACCACCGGGAGCGAATCCGGGATATCCAGGCTAGCGAGAGTGGCTCCTATTTTATGTCGAAATTTATGGGTGTTTTTCCTCGTCTGAAACATGAGAAGACATAAAATATGGTTTAACAACTTAATTTTCTGCACCAATTGTCCGAGGGACCTCCAGTTCCCCCCACTGCTAAAGACTCCCACCAGCTAGCGCATAAATGAAATAAAATCGATGTGATTATAAAGTATAGGTTGCCAGTCAATATACCACATAGCACACAACATGTCGCTATTTGTTTTATTTATTTGTGAGAAATCTAGTGCCAATTCAAACATCTATATCTAACAATATTTCCACTCGTCGGCGTATACAATTCCTTAAACATACTTTATGCTACAGCTAAATCTGTCTATTGCAGGTCTTTCTTTAGACCTGGGCCCTTATTCACGAAAACTTAAACTAAGATACAATCGAAATTTTAAGAAATACTGCAATTCGATTGGCTGACCAATATGCAAATTGGATATATGCAAATTGGATATATGCAAATTGATTTTACTGGTCAGCCAATGGAATTGCAGTATTTCTTAAAATTTCGATTGTATCTTAGTTTAAGTTTTCGTGAATAAGGGCCCTGAAATGTTATCTAAATTATTATTTGGGCATTAAATAACCTATCCAGACCGTAATCAACTCTAGATGGCAGCGCTAGCTTGCGATCTTTAGTGGATTATGAGCCGATTTACTGCATAACTTTCCTTCGCGGTTTAATGATTAAATGGATAATCGAGACTATGCTGTTTATCGTACTGACTTTAGTAATGATGATCGAGGCTAGGCGGAAATTTCAATCGCTTAATTCTCGGTTCTGAAATTTTCAGCAAATTGCCTTTACATTATCTAGTTTTTAACTATTATAGGGAGAACTGCCAACTCGTTATCGAATCTCCCATAATGTATCTTTAATAAAACGGTGTAGCTGTAACAAGGAACAGGTTACTCGGCCTAAAACCTGGTTTAATATTTCAGGTAGATTTTATTTGGATTAACCGAGACCAGAAAAGTTTTGAATGGTTTATGAGACTGTTAACAGATATTGAATTAGAACAGTCACGTGTTGCTAGATTTGGTCGTATTTTAGACATGCACATGTACATGACGAGTGCACACAGTAAAACTGACATGAAAGGGGTGGGGCTACAAATGGCGATAGAGCTGTTACATAAGAAGGAGAACCGAGATGTTTTAACCGGTCTGAAAACCAAGACTCATGCGGGGCGACCCAACTTTCCTCAGGTACGTAGTGATGACTAAAGTTTTAAATAGACCAATTTATCAAATAGTCCAAGCAGCACTGGTTATCGCCCCACCCCAAACTTGTTTTGGTGGTCGCCTCCCTTGTGAGGTTATTTTTATTTTGAGTGACGACACCTGTATGACTACAGGGTCAGATCTTAATGTTAAGGCCATCTACAGATTTCATCAAGGTCACGAGATGTAAACAGGGTTAGGGCAGGTGATTGTTGCCGAGGATTGTGGTTAGGTCTAGCGCTAGCCCTATTTATATTGACGAAATCTGCACGTGGCCTTAATAATTAGATCTAACTATGACTGTAGGCCCGGGTCTGTACAGCCTAGTAGACCGTTATGGCCGATCCTAAGGGTCCAATCCCTTGATTTGATAGTATGTATAGTTTATTTCTTGGAATGTATGTATGTAACGTCCGCGGGTTTGTCTTGTTTATGTGTGTTGTGGTTTCCTGCTCCTTCGCTTCCTCTTAGATTAATACTAAGTGCAGGATAACCGCACTACAGGCAAAACAAACCCGATAAGACAAACCTACGAACAAGACAAACTACATAGACAATGCAAGACATCGACAACAGACAAATATCAGGGGTCATACGGGCGGCTTTTGAACAATGACGTCAGACATTTGATTAACCAATCAGTATTGATGTTTCTAGTGGAACACCCAAAGTTCCGTGCATCGCACGCCAAGAACTCGCTGCAACAGACTGTTTCATGGGCTAATCCATCACATCATCCATACAGCGTGGGTTATATAACAACTCTTCCAGATCCTAGTGTAGTAAAGACAAGTAAAACGAAATTTTGAACTATATAAAACGAAACGCAATAGGATCTGTGTTTTAATCCGATTGGCAAGGTGTTTATATGTATTTATATATATTTTAGTTATTTCACCAGATTAATTCCACGAGACAGGGTAAAGTTAAAGTATTTTTTTGTGGACCTCCAGCTTTAGCCAAAGATTTAAAGGAACAGTGTATCATATTTAAATGGGAGTTTTGTAAAGAAAATTTTTAACAACTGTTTCATCAATGTTATATATATGCCTGTGGGGTGGGGAATAAATCTCATTGGTATCCGGTCAATATTCCAACACATTTCTCGGAATGTTTATTAGTTGGTGGGGCTGCTAAACACCCCTTCCACCAAAGTTGATATCAGACAGAATATTCTCATATGTAGGCCACAGCCAGGTGGAATAAACCGCTACATGACCAATCAGCTTATACCAGGTGGAATAAACCCCTACAAGACCAATCAGCTTACACCAGGTGGAATAAACCCCTACATGACCCTCACCCTGCCAGGTTGGAATAAAACCCTACATGACCCTCACCCTGCCCCAGTTGGAATAAACCCCTACATGACCCTCACCCTGCCCCAGTTGGAATAAAACCCTACAAGACGAATCAGCTTACACCAGGTGGAATAAAACCCTACAAGACCAATCAGCTTACACCAGGTGGAATA